AAATAAACAATGTCACCTGGAACTTCTGGGCTCAAGTGGTTCTCCCACCTCAGCCTCCCAAGACTACGGGTGCATGCCATCTCACATGGGACAGGGTCTCGCTCTGTTGCCCAGACTGGAAAGGTCAGATTTTTAAATCAGGTCTTGGGACTGCCAATTCTGTCTTTCCACGAAGTCTCCATCTATCCTGACAGTGGTCCATTTCCTGCTGTTTCTCCTCCCCTTCAATACTCCTCCCCCATCCCCTCACCTCTAGGTGTGAAGGTTACCAGGTAGAGAGACCTGAGCTCCCTGGCTCTGACTTCAAGGTGGAAAGTTTGAAAAGGCAACCGGTTTGGTTTCACTGGCAGGGCAGCGGCAGGCATTTGGGTTCCGAAGGCCCAGGGATGTAGAAGCCTCCAGCTAACAGAGTCCATTAGCCTTTCCTCCCAAATGCTCTTGGAGATAAGCTCCCAGCTCCCTCCCCTTTTCCACCTTTGTGCACCTTCTGCTGTATTCTGTCCATTCCAGCACTGGCCCTTTCTGTGGGTGGGTGGCCAGAGGATACAGTTTCCTGCATGACTGTTTGCTCATGATTCATACTTCTAAATGAAAGTACAACTGGTAGAAAAAAAAGGATTTCTGGGTCTTCAATTAAGAAAAAAATTACTAATACAGGTACGGGGGTGGAGTGGGGTGGGGGAAAGTACATGTACCTTGCTAGTTTCCCTAGGGCCTGGTATATTCTATGGAAGGTATCCACCCTTTAGGACTCAGGTCTTGACAACTGCTTGTGGTCAAATCAAGGAAAGACAGAAATTGTGCTAACTGCCTCTCAAGAGTCTCCAAGGATCCCCCAGCAACTCAGGCCAGCCCCTAGAGATGACCTAGGAGTCTTTCCTGAAGAGCCAGTCCCCTTCCCCATCTCTTGATGTTGGTTGTGGGTAACAGTGCCCTTCATTTGAGCTACTCACCTGCCAGCTCTCCTTAGGGAGCAGGAGGGAGGCCCGAGGTGCACAGTAGGTTCTCTGGTGAACACTGCCTGGTGGGTTTCCAAGGCAGCCAGGACTGCCGTCAACTCATAGATGAGGAAGTAAGAAAGCTTGGGTCAGCTACCCTTCAAGGGTCTTTCTGAGCGCCTGGGGACCGAGGTGACTGGGGACATAGGAAAAGGACTCTCCCTCCCTACTTCCTTCAAAGGAGAGTTATCGAAGCCGCCCACCTGGGACTCCTTTCCCTTCCCAGCCCCTCCCTGTCACCAGTACCAAAAGGAAGCAGGAAAACATCCGTCATCACAGCCCCGGATGCGGATTTTCCAGTGGCTCCTATCAGGATATCCCCCAGCCTTTTCCCAAGGGCTTAGGGATTTGGAAAAGTCAAAGATCTGGAGAGCAAGTGGTCACATTACCAGCACCGCTGTGGAAATCTGGCCTTGGGGAGGCTGAATCTCTTAACTGATCCCAGACTAGTTTTAGAAGATCTGGTCAGCTCCCAGCTAGTCAGAGAGAGGGCCCATTACACACCCCAGAGGACAGCATGCGCCCTTGGGCGACCTTGCAGTGCACACCTGTGCTCAGGTTACAGCCAGGTCTCTGGAGGAACTGAGTCGTCACCGACACCTCCTCTCCCCTGGGTATCTATTTCTCTCTTGGGGATGGGTATGTTTGGGGAGCAGGAGAGGAGGGCCAGTGGACAACAGCCAGGACTGGGGAGGAAGGCTCCAGTTGTCGATGCTGATGGACAGCTCAGCTCCTTTTCAGAGCCAGGTAGGCTACCTTCAAAAACTGGAAACTCCCAGGTTTAGCTTCTCTGGCCTCCCTACTTCCTCTTTGCCCTTGGCAGTAAGAACAAAGAAGGGAAATTTCAAAGGTGATTTCCAGGTTTCCAGAGAAAAGTGAATAGCTACAGATGAGCTGTCAATGCATGCCTGCGGTGTTGGTGTGGTCCCAAGGCAGCCCTGAGGGCAGGTGAAGAAGGCTGGCTCACCAGAGTCTCTACTCATTCATTGGAGGATCTGAGGCTGACTTGATGCTGCTGGGGCTTTGGTGGTTCCCCAGGCCAAGGGGGCACGTGACACAGCCAGGAACAGAAACCAGAACTCTCATGCATGTCGCCTGGCATCGAAGGCACCCTGGCCGAGAGTTTCTTCCATCTCACATTTGGCAAAGGCTGCTAGGCAGAAAGGCGTCCTGTGTGGTATCCAGCACTGTGCCCTGCATGTGCCCGTGCCCCTGAATAAGATGCCCCCAGCTCCTAGCATTCTGGGGACGAAGTGAGAGGGGCAGCTTTGTCTGAAACAGGCCCAGGAAGTGATGAGCTCCACTTTGGCTCTGCATATTGAGCTACTTGGCCTGAAAGTCCTTTATTTTAGGGGAGTCTCTCTCCTAGTTAGCCTGGCCACCCCATCCCCGTACATGAAAGCCAAAGAGACGGATGTATGAAAGCAGAGTTGTACGCAGCTGCCATGGGGAAGTCACTTTGGCAGACAGCCAGGGTTGAGTTGAGGAGTGGGCACAGTCCAGTGGCAAGGGCAATCCTCTGCCACTGCCTAGCTACCTCTTGTGTACCCTGCAAAACCCCATCCACACCCAGGAAGAGTCAGGAGGGGCCAGGGACTAACTGTGGATTCTCAGGGTTGAAGGATTGGGCAAAGTAGATACCCAGTGGTATCCTGGAGTCCAAAGAGATCACTCACTTCTCAAGGGGTTCAGGTCAAAGATACCCAGCACCCCATTAGGGATCAGGTCCCATGAACTCATCTGCGGCAGACCAGAGGAAAAGCAAAAACAGCATCTCAAAGTGTCTTCTGAACCGCCCCCACTGCTGAGGCTGGGGAGTTGATTTCAGAGCTCAGCACTAAATGGAATTAAGTGTAATTACAGCCCTGATCCACATCTCACTCCCTGCGTCCTCCTCAGCAGGGGCGGGGAATGGGGAGCGGTCCCAGACTGGGTCCAAACAAACGTCCAGTTCCTGGGTTTCTGACAGCTCTTGGGCCGAAGTGGGCCGCAAGGAGCAATGCCCCTCCCTGGGGACTTGCAGATAGCCCTCTGCTGCAGGCGGGGCCTGGGCCTCAGTGCTGTAACTGTCTAGCTGAGAACCCAGCAGACACAGGCAGAGGCATCAGGAGACTGGACGTTGGCACAAGCCCTCGGGACAGGGACTGAAGGAAGTCTTCTAAACCACTGATGCTGAAAGAAGACTTTAATGTGCACAAAGAAACCTCACATTAGTGACAGGGAGAGAGAGGAAGGAGGGTGGGGAGGACTGAGGCCCAGGGAAACCAGAGCTATGGAGACATAGGCCTTAGGGAAGAGGAGATGGCTAGGAGGAAGGAGGCCTGAGGGGTGGGCCAGGCAGAGAGGCCCATCCCTTGCCAAGAGGAGCGCAGGTCAGGGGCGGTGGCCGGCTCTTGCTTCATCAGGCTGGTCAGCATGTGGCCTCCTCTGGCCTTGATTCTTCGCTTCCTCCAGTTCCTTGAGTCTATTCACTTCCTGCTGGAGCCAGGAGCCCTGGGCTGTCCGGACCCTGCTCCTTCAGATGTCTTTCCAGGGGTTGCAGTACTGGGCCTGCGGCAAGGAGGGAAGCAGGCTGTGAGGGCCTGGGCCCAGGTGCTGCCCACTGCCCTGCAGCTCCCTGGACTGGCGGTGTCTACTCAGCACTCATCACAGGCTCATGCCAGGTGCCAAGTGAGCAGGATGCTGGGTTCATAGTCCTGGCAGGGACACAGCGGTCAACAGGCTATGTGACTGTATAAGTGGTCTGCCAGGGCCCCTCTACCAGGCTCCGAATCACTTTTCCCTCTTCTCATGACAAGCCCACTACTCCCACCAGAGGCTGGTGAGATCTAGTTCGTTGGGGAGTGAGGGTGAGGTTCGCTCCTCAGCTTTCTCAGAGACTTGGTGAAATATGAGACCCAAACCACAGCCCGTGGCCAATGTGTCAGCCCTAAGTCAGAGGTTATAGGGGAAGGACGAGAGAGGAGTCTGAGGAGAGGCAGGTTAGAAGCGGAGGGGCACTGGTGGTGGGGTGGGTGGTGGTCCTCACCAAGTCCTGTGCTCCTCCACGGAGGGCTGGGGGCTCAGGAAGGGAGGAGACCCTAAGCTGGCCCAGCTGCTTGTTGGAGAGAAAGCGCCAGAAGGGAGGGCACCAGCACAGGGGCTGGAGCTGGTTAGGTCAGAGGCTTGGGAGTCAGGCTGGCTTATGCCCTGATTCTGACATTCACACAAGCTGCCTGCATGAAGGGGCATGCCACTGAGCCTCTCAGAGCCTGCTTATCTGTAAAATGGGCTCCTGACAACACCTGGCTTGCGGGGGTTGTGTGGGTTCTTATAGAAATAGATCTTCATTCAAGAAATGCTGTGGGCCAGGCACGGTGGCTCACACCTGTAATCCCAGCACTTTGGGAGGCTGAGGTGGGCAGATCACGAGGTCAAGAGATCGAGATCATCCTGGCCAACATGGTAAAACCCTATCTCTACTAAAAATACAAAAATCAGCTGTGTGTGGTGACGCACGCCTGTAGTCGCGCCACCGCACTCCAGCCTGGTGACAGGGTGAGACTCCGTCTCCCCAACAAAAAAGAAATAAATACTAGCTGTAAATATCACATCTAGAGGCTCTGAGGAAACTCGGTGGGGGTGTGGGGGTACAGTGGAGAGGACCATGGCAGCCTGCGAGCCTTCCTCCTAACACAGTAGGAGGCCAGCCTCAGGCCTGGTGGGCAGAAGGTGGACATCTGGGGCCCCTTTCTGGCACTGCCCATAACAGAATGGCACTCTGGGTCCAGACTCTTCCCTCTCCAGGGCAACTTTTCTTTGCATTTCCTGAGGACTACACTTCTTTGCGTCCCCTTCCCTCCACACCCACCCTGGGCACTGGATTTTTTTTTTTTTTTTTTTTTTTTTTTTTGAGACAGTCTCACCCTGTTGCCCAGGTTGGAGTGATTTCAGCTCACTGCAACCTCCACCTCCCAGGTTCAAGGGATTCTCCTGCCTCAGCCTCCCGAGTAGCTGGGATTACAGGTGCATGCCACCATGCCCAGCTAATTTTTTGTATCTTTAGTAGACAGGGTTTCACCATGTTGGCCAGGCTGGTCTAGAACTCCTGACCTTGTGATCTGCCCTCCTTGGCCTCCCAAAGTGCTGGGATTACAGGTGAGAGCAACGTGCCTGGCCTTTGGCACTGGATTCTTTATAAGAATGATGAATGCCCCCCAAGGTGCTCCCACCCTTCCCCCACATGCCCACTCCATCTATGTCCCTGCCAGGAGTTCAGCAGCTGCAGTGGGGGTGGATTCGCTGCTGGCTCTGGCCAGCCCTGCCTGACCGCTTCCCGCCCCTCCCAGGTCTGAGGGCTGGAGGGGACACCACCTGGGGCTGGCAGTGGGTCAGCAGCTCCTGCCAACGGATGTAGGTCTGGGTAGCCAGGTCCTTGAGCATGGTGTGGTGCATGGCCTGGGGGCTCTCCCGGATCTGCGTGCTGATGTGGCGGTCCAACTGCATGCACAGCAGCTGCAGCTCGCCCTGCGGAGGTGGAGGGAGGCCGAGGGCCAGGTGCAGCCCAGGCCAGGCACATCCAAAGCGGGGCAGGAGGCGAACAAATTCAGAGAAAGGAAGGGGCACATTTGAATGACTGCTCAGAAGTTGAGCAGGAAAAGGAGGACGGGGCCAGCACAACTGCTAGGGCTTGGGTCAGTGTCCCTTGGGAATGGCTCAGCTGGTAGGACACCACGGGGAGGAAGAGGCCCTGGCTCCCCCAGGCTGGCTTCTCAGCCTCCCACTCTCTGCAGTTCCTAACAGTTGGCTGAGTTCCATCTCAGCCAACCCCACGCTGCTTGCGGGGAGAAGACAGAGCTGGGCACCCCACCCAGCCCCACCCCTTGGGAGACTCACCCACTGGTCTGGAGTGATGTCCTGGCAGCTGACCACCACCCCGGCCAGCGTCAGGAGGCTGTGGCACAGATAGCAGGCCTGGAGGAAGAGCACAGGGAGAACTGCTTCTCTAACTCTGCCCAGGGCAGCATGGCAGGCCCTCCACCTGCATGCTGCTGTCAGGCGAATTGGGCCAGGGCAGAGGCTCAGCCCACCCCTAGGCTTTCAGTGACAATTTCCAGGGAGGCATCTTCAAGGGGGCTGGGTGAGCCAGGCTCTAGGCGCAGTCACTTGGAGCTGTGACTCCCCGGCAGGCACTCCCAGCCTGGCCTCTGATGAAGGGCTGTCCTCCCTTCCTCCAGAAACAGGAGGAGTCAGCCATCCAGAAATGCACACTGTCCCCCAGCCTTGTGCTGGGGCAGCAGAGGGCACCTTCGGGGGAGAGGGGCTCATCCACTCTGACCTCTGCAGTCTCTGTTTCCTGGGCCGACCTTACCATAGGCACTGTAGCCAGGGTGCCTCTATGCAAACAGCAAAGGGAGGGAGTCCCCTCTGGGGGGATGTGGCCCACGGCCCCACAGCTCCTGGACTCGGCTTACCCCTCGGCAGAATGCCACCTGCACCAACACAGATGCAGCCTGCCTGGACAGTTGCCTTGCTGACTCGAGGAGGCAGGTAAAGAGACGGGAGCTGATGGAAGATGGTTTTGGCTGAGCGTCTGCACACCTCACCTCCACCCTCATTCTTGCCAACTGCACACTCTTAGCAGTGAAAACAGGATGCAGGCCTGCTCCATCTGGCCTGAGAACAATGTGATGTCGAGGCACCCCTGGACTCTCTTGGTACCCAATCGATTATGGGACACATGCTTGCTGTTTGGAGAAACCAAGCCACGGGGAGTGTCCGAGGGAGTGAGGCTCCTAAAAGAACACAACCTGCCCTGGATTCCCAACTACTGCCTGCAGGTGCACCCCTCCAGAGAGGCCCCTCCTGCCTCGTCCTCTCGGCTTTCTTCGTGTCTAGGATCAGTGGCAGATGACCAGCCCCGAGGACAAGCAGGAATGGGAGAGGCGGGATCTAGAGATGTCGGCAGGTGAGAATGGGCTGCAGCTGAGAGCCAGCCCACAGCCCCTGTGCCCCAGCTTCCCCTACCCTTATCACCCTCTGCCCTCCCAGGGTGCTAGGTGGTGCCCCAGCAATGGCCGAAGCTTCTTTGCACAGGCCCAGGAGTCTCCTCAGGACAGACACCAGACCACCTCTGAGGGCATCAGATTTAGTACCATCAACTGATTTCTTTAACCCAGATAACACCATGCAAAATCCTGAGGTTGGAGGCCACCTGGGGCTCCCATCAGCAGTGCCCATCCTGCCTGGGACCCCAGCCAGTTCTTCAACACAACAGATAAGGCCCACAGCTGGCCTGACTCCACAAGCTGACCAGGTGGCCCTGCACATGGCAGGCAGAGAAGACATGGTGGGGGAAACCGAGGCATGCCTCCAGGACAGCTGCCCTGGGGTGGGGAAGACCCAACCTCTCTGAAGCCCAGGTCCCCCTGCCTGCCAGGTCCCTGCAGCTGCCTGAGTCTGGCTTGCTGGCGGTGCACTGCTGGCTCCCTCAGCGTACCTTCCCTCCAACCTGGCCTTGCCTTCAGGACTCCGCCTGGCCCTCTGCAGTCCTGCAACAGCTCACTGCCCCCTTGGCATAAAGCAGGTTCTGGTCTGCGTGCCAGACATTGTGCCTAGACTGATAAACGGCGACATAAGACAAACTCAGACATCAGAGGGAGAAAGATACTTCAGGAGGGCAGCCATTTGGTCAGGAAATACCATACCTCTGCTGCTGCATAGACCAAAAGGAGAAAAGGCCCTTCCAGGGTTTTTGGGGGATGGGAGAGTACAACTTAGAGGCTTCAGGGAGGAAGTGACTAAGCTAAAGTGGGCCTCAAAGGAACAGTAGGATTTGAGGCAAAGATGGCCCTGTGCAGGCAGAAGGCTAATAACAGACCCTGAGGGTGCTTCTAGAAACAGAAGCCAGTGCAGATGCAAGGCGGGGGGGGGGGCGACCCAGGGGCAGAGTTGTGGGGATAGGCTGGGAGGGTCTGGGGGAGGCAGGTGATAGAATGTGGCCACACTGGTGTGCTGGAAAGTACTAGGTAGTATGAAAATGGGCTCTGTCTGGGAGAAAGGATTGCAAGGTATCCTTATCTTTTCCTTTTTCCCTTTTTAAGATTCTTCCTTTTTTTTTTTTTTTTTTGAGAAGGAGTTTCACTCTTGTTGCACAGGCTGGAGTGCAATGGTGTGATCTTGGCTCACTGCCACCTCTGCCTCCCGGTTTCAAGCGATTCTTCTGCCTCAGCCCCCCGAGTAGCTAAGATTACAGACCCCCACCACCATACTCGGCTAATTTTTTTGTATTATTAGTAGAGACGGGGTTTCTCTATGTTGGTCAGGCTGGTCTCGAACTCCCAACCTCAGGTGATCTGCCCGCCTCAGCCTCCCAAAGTGCTGGGATTACAGACATAAGCCACCATGCCCGGTCTTTATTTCTCTACCATGTGTGTACTCATACAGTGGGAATACAATGAAAGTTGGTTTAAAACAATTTTTTTTAGCAAGATACTGCCAATTGTAATTCACTGAACCTAAGTGGGTTCGGGGTGGTTGTGGGGCAAGGGAGCAGGACTTGGCCATGAAAAGTAGTTGAGACCCAGGCTGGGCAAGGTGCCTCACACCTGTAATCCCAGCACTCTGGGAGGCTGTGGCTCAGGAGTTTGAGACTAGCCTGGGCAACATAGAGAGACCCTATCTCTACAAAAAAACAAAACCAAAAAGTTATCCAGCATGGTGGTAACCTGTAGTCCCAGTTACTTGGGAGGCTGAGGCGGGAGGATCACTTGAGCCTGGGAGGT